CAGTTGTGTAACTATAACAAAAGAGGGAGTAGTTGTATCTTTGAGTGGGAATCTAGGACAATAAGGTAAGGGACCTTACTGTCTTTTGCTTGAAAAATTCTTTGAAGTATTCTGTGCAGTGTTTTTTTTTAGAAATTCTTTTTTTTTTTTTTTTTCTTTGGTACCAGTGTGGAGAGCAGTGTGTGGAGAGCGGAGTTAGCCAAAGAGGCTCCATTTTGAATCTTACTCTCCATTGTATAAAGCAAGGAGACTATGTCATGAGGAACCGCGTCCTTGCCGAATTAGATTGCCCTGGAATGTGATGAACGTTCTGTAATCCTGAGAAACAAGGAAGCCCATGAGGGTGGGGAATTCCCAAAGAACTAGAAAACAAGGAAGCAGGTGTCTCTGGATAAGGGTCATGATTAACAACCAAACTCACCTATTGTATAAAAGAGAGGAGAAAAACTTGGGCGCTCGGTCTCTGGGAGCCCTCCGGACTATCTCTTTGTCTTTATTTTTCCTCATCCTCACTCCCCCATTCAGGTACTGTTAGACAAGTGACGGCGGACTCCGTCATACCAGGGATCGAACTCGGGTCCTTCCACTTGCAAGGCAGGCGGCGGAACCACTGAGCTAAATCCCTGGCCCCAAGAAATTCTTATATAATTAAGCCATGTTATTACCAATAGGGACCCTGGTCAAGTCCTTTTGCATTGGCACTGGGGATTGTCTGGCATGTAAACTATTGTCACACGGGTCTTTGTTTCATCTTTTGCTTTCAGGTAAACAAGCAAAGATGCATATATTTTAAAATAGAAAAACAGAATATTCTGATTCTTTTCTATGACTCATGCTTCTAAAAACCATAAATCCTTTCAATTATTTTATTCAACATGTATATTAAAATCATTTCAAATAAATAGTAAATATAAATATGAAATTGTAAGACTAAGAAGAAATATTTTCCCAGACATGCTGACCCCTGTTGGGCAAACTCATATTTTGATTGTTTTAGGGTCAGAGAGATTTTAGTAGATTATATTATTTAAAAAACATATTGCTGGCCTTTCACATGGTTTGCTCTCTGCAAGAAGGTTGCATTTGTCTGTCACATTGACATATATTTTAGCAAAGGGCCTGAGACTTTTCTCTGGCCAAGGAAATATAAGCAAAAGTGATGATAGTCTCTTCTGAACAGAAGTTACAGCTGCTTGAGTGAGAATTTCCTGGCTTCTCTGGATTATTTTGGACCTTTGCCTCCCATTTCATTGCAATTGGAAATCTTTTCAGCCTGGTTGGGTCTCAGAGTAAAGAGATTTTAAGGCAAAGCTATGGTTGACAGACAATGGGCATGATGGGAAGACAGAGATGTCCATGCAAAGATTCTACAGAAGTCTAGGGAGGAAGAGTGAAATTTGGAGTCAAAACAATGATGCTGGTGGACAAAATACATGATAAACTACTGCTTTTAGTGGCATTTAGAAAGCAAAATGGATGGAACGCATTGACTCAGAATTAAGTCCAAAGGCGGCAATGCTTGAGTTCTGGTGGATATTACCTCATGTTTTACTTTGCCATAGCCTTGTGATAAATTTCCATCTGTTTCCTGTTCTTCTAGCCATTCATTGGCAACAGAATAATCTTCCACTAACATCGTTTTGGTGATGCCATGTTTTTCTCCTCAGCCTTCTGAGGCTTCTCCTTGCTAAGGAAGTATGTTTTACCTCTTTAGCATCATAATTTGTTCTAAATTAAATATCTATTTCTTCTCTTTCAGGTCATGCCTTCCTTAAAGAAAGTCTAATGCTTTCTTATTTTTCTCCAAAATGGTATCGGAGTGTGTAGCTCACTGTCTTTTCTCAGGCATTACCTTTGCTCTATGTCAAAGACTAGAGGAGAACTGAGGGCTCACTGGCCCCCTCTGTGAGCACAGAGGGGAAAGGCTGCACTTAGGGGTGATTGAATACTGCAGGTTCTAGGGAAAAGTTAAGATACCTGAGGTTAATTCGCTTACCAGAGCGCGTACTAATGAATACTGGAAAGCAGATGGATCTTGTGTTACTTTGATTCCTTGCTTGTGCCCGTGTTTGGGTGAATAAAGGCAAGATGAGCCAGACACTGGGACTCCTCTGCCTCCTAGGAGCACTCCGGCTGCTGGCATGTTAAACTGACTCCATTTCTCTTTGTCATTCATTTTCCTTCATGCCCAGGTCCATGAGAACGCAGTAGCAGGTCTAGGTCCTGGTACAAAGCCACCCAGGTGGCTACAGTGGCCCCACTGTGTGGCTTGTGAGGCTCAGGACCCGGGCTCACCTACAGCTGTGGCTGTTTTTCTCACTCATGCATGGTTTGAATCTAAATTGTATAAATTGGGAGAGACTAAGCTCTAGAGGAGTAACCAATGATCCCAAAGGCTCTGTGGTTTACAAATAAAAGTGCTATCACCCTTCCATACTGCATGTCAGTCTTGGGGCAGGTGGGACTCGAACATTCTCTTCATTTAACTGAAGCAGATAGAAGTGTCTACAGATTTAGATTTGTTCATTGATGTTCTCCTTGGAAATAACTATGTTCCTTTCCATCAAAATGAGTCATAAACAAGTCTAAGAGGAAAAGTACATCCCACCCTACCCTACAGATAAGCCAAACCTGTAAAGTCACACATCCACATGCAAACTCACACACACACACACACAGACAAACACATTGATATAATTTACCAAATCATCATTGGAATCTGTTTCAAATCCTACTGACTTCATTAATTTGATCGTGTTCACCCCACCTCTACACTTTCTCTCTTGCCATTTGTACTACTTTGTGCATTTTATAATACCCTAGTCACAAGTCAATGGTTTTTTTCTTAAAGAGACAAAAAGTAAGCATTTTAAGCTTCAATCTATGTCCACCTATGATGGCTAGGCTTAATTGTCAACTAGATTACAAGATGAACAGAAAGGTCATTGTATCATGGGAGGGCATACTCATCAGCAAATTAAGGCATTGAAGTTCATAACTGAATGTGCTGTTAGGAAGTGGGGCACAGTGGGAGGGCTGGGGGTATAGCTTTGGTGGGTGTATCTCCTGCATGTACACTGCCTTTGTGCTCTGTTTCCTGACCACCATAAAGTGAGCAACTTCCATCTGCCATGATGTCCCTCTCTTGGAGCCATTAAGTCATGGACTGAAAAAAATCTGAAACCATGAACCAAAGAACGAAGAGCCTCTCCTTTTGTGAGTGACAAGGATTTGGTTCCAGCAACAACAAAGAGAACAAATACACTTCCAGAAACCTACTTATCTCTGAGTTGTAGAGCAACTGGAGCCATTAACAATATGTAATGGAAAGTGATCGTTTTTCAATAAAACTTTATTTTCACACGAGGGTGGTTGGACTTATATTGTAGTTTGCAGACTCCTAGAGCAATAGCTTGGAAACTTCTGCATGCATCAGACTCATCTGAGGGGCTATTAGAAGATATATTGTTAGGTATTCTTAGAATGGGCGAATTTGCCTTCCCAATAGTTTCCAGGTGGACTGTCTGCTGCTCTACTGAGGAATTCACACTGGGAATCATCCACCTGCAGAAGAAAGATAATGTTCTGTGTTCAATGACTTGTCACTTGTTATCAACAAATGAATTAAATAAATGAATATTTGACTATAAAACTGAGGAAAAAACAATATTTATTTTTCATGTTTTCTCAAAATATTCTTCGCCTTACAAAAGCCAGGTGACTACACTTAGCCAGACACTTCTCTGAATAAAATTTTATTGGCTACATCGATGAGTTACAATAAAGTTAGCATTCACCTTTCTTTATAGTGACACAGCATACAGTGCTGTAAATATTACATTTTCCATGCCTCCTTCACATGATGGACAGGTAATGAAATTGTTTTGTTTGTAAAGTCTCCCCAAGCTATTTTAACTTGTCATCATACACAAAGCTTGGCTACACCAAGCGCACCAACCTATTCATATTACTCCAGTGGAACAAAAAGGTTTCAGAAAGACACATTAATTTTATTCTTATTCAATGCTGACATTGAAAAGACATTATTATTTGTGTAGTTGTTTAATCTTTCAATCCTACTCATTCTTTTTTTATATCAATCCTACTCATTCTTATACACGTTTTTAAGACTGCTTTGAGACTCTGAACTCTTGAGATATTTTTAAGATAAAACGATTCTCAAATATTGCTGCAGTCTTGATATAGAAATGATAAAATGACAGATTTTTGGAGAGAAAATAAATGATCCTGGATGAACTTGTTTAAGCAAATTTTTATTCAATATATAGCACTTTAATAGAGAAATACAAAGACAGATCCTCATGAATAAAGGACGCACTGTGGTTTGGGGGATTTTAGAGGAATTGTTCTCATTTTCCACGGTGATATTTTTCATTATAACATTTTATTACCATTAAAATACCTTATGAAGTTTTGTGTAATCACTAAACAAATTCTCTCAGGAAAAGCAATTCCACTAATTTTAAAGTCTTATAATATGTGAAGATGAAAACATTAAAACAGACTGGACCAACATAGCAGTCTGAATAATTTTTAGCTCTTCACACACTATGACCTAAGATAGAGCAGCCTCGAAGCAGGTGAATGAATTAGGAGAAACTCCGTGTCTATGATTAGCACCAATTATCATCTGCTTCTTGTTCAGGGGATGTTTAAAAAATGAGACCGTTTCCAGGTAAATGGATTGTATTATGTTGTTCCAGAGTAGACGAAACAAGCTACTCAGTGAAGATCAGACTCCAAGCCTTTGGCATCCGGGGCCTGCCAGTTGTCTGATCATCAAGAGACCTAAAACATTTGCAAAGCAAAGCTTCAGGTGATGACCCAGGTGCTACCTCTGGGCACAGGCACCTCAGCTTCACCCTTGGCTGAGCCTCTTTAATGAGTCTTCTGAGAGGCTTGGAGTCCTCCAGTTCCTTCAAAGCATTCTGCAATGAACGCTGGTGGAGAAACAAGAAACAAGATACACTGCAAATGTAGGACTCAATTACTTTTCACAACTCGACGCGTGTGGACGGCACGCTGTGTTTTGTTTTGAGGGCGGGGAGATGACAGCCGAGGCGTCCTGCGCGCCCATTGGCTCGCGGCTCGCGGCTGCAGCCCAGCCGGCAGCTCCGGAGCAGCCTGATCCGAAGGGTGAACGTGGAGAGAGCCGCAGCGAGGTCCGGGCGTTTCTCAGAAGAGGGCAGCCTCTTCACGGAAGAAAGTGGTGTCTGCCGGCTGCCCGGCCGCGAGGACCTTCTGTGAACAAGCCCGGGCACCGGGCGGGGCGGGGCGTTGCAAGCTGTTCCCGAGGCGAGGAGGAACGAGGAGAGGAGGCAGGGTCGCTGCTCTCCAGCAGCCGGTTCGTCGCTTCCTGTAGCCGGGGTCGCCGCTGCTCTGCAGCCCCGCGCCGTCAGGTAAGCCTCGGCCAGGTCGCGGTTGCAGCGTGCGAGGCTCGCTCCGGGGGACGCGCGCAAGCGTTCGTGCACGATCAATAAAGTGGGGCCCGGCGAAGCCCGGAGCCCGCCAGGCAGAGCGCGATAGATCCGGCGCGCGCACGGGGTCCGGTGCGCGGCTCGGCTTTGGGAAACTTCGGCAAGTCCCAAACTCGTCTGCGGTCCCGGAGCCGAGGGGACGGAGGAAGCGCGGGCAGCGAGGCTGTCACCGCTCCCCCGCCTCCTCGGCGGGGCTGATTTCCAAATGCACGCAAGGAGCCACGAGACGGGCTGGGCGCTCACCTGGTTATTTCAGAGCCTCTTGGAGGGACACGCGATTTTAACAACAAAATAACGCTTTGTTCTCAAACAGCTTCCTTAAATACCGACCCCCTCACCTGCTTCCCCACTGACAGCGATAGTGTTAAACTTCATTCTTCATTTAAAAATACAACTCTCGGGCAATTTACGTGCTTTGATGTCCTGCTTCTCCGTGCACAACCGTTTGAGTTTCCTGCCGCAAAAGTAATTTGGGACAAGTAAAACAGCCTTAGATTACCAGATCTGCTGAGTTATATAATATGCATTTCAAAATTATCTTAAGGTTATTACTCATTTGATGGTAATGTTAAGGAGGAGAAAGTATATGCGATGAAGGACGTGATAAATCATTTTTTCAGAGACCTTCAGTAATTTAAACCTATTTTCTTATTTTCAATACCTTTTTTTATATGGTGGGGTCACAGTGCCTTCAGAAGCTATGTACTTCAAGGCGCCTGGTGCCTCTTACAGATAGGTACACTGCTCTGTTCTCTCTGGAGAGGCAGCTGACATACTTTTGGCTGTTTCTGTAACCATTTCGTGATTTTCAGTTTCTCATCAGGTATTTTGATGCTCATTCACAAACTGCTCAGCAAGAAAATTACCTTGCATGCTGAGGGGCAAAAATGTAAGTGGATTGCATTCTGAATATATGTCTATAGTTTTAAATTTCATTATACACAGCCAAACAGGAAAAATCCAACCATGTTGAGCAGGTTTGTGTTTGCTGTTGTTTAATCTTTACTGCATACTTGGTCAGTTGTAAAATTTACAAAATAGCAGCAGACCCATAGTTATCCAGAAATACTCGTCCTCATTTTTTAATACCACCATTAATTTATTAAATTATTCTAAGCAATTTAAAATATTTTAATTTTCAATATTTTTAGAAAGGAATGCAACTGAATAGGTTTATGTTATAAATATTTCCTTGATTCCAGTAGAATGTCACTTCAGAATTGAAAAACAGATGGTTACTCTTCCCAAATCTGGAGCAGTTGATTGACGAATTGTCTGAGTGCTCAAGTGCACAGCCATATGCAAAATAGAAGCTTTCATTTGACTGAGAAGCATATATGCCTACTCAGCAGAAGGTTCAGGGACTCTTTCTCTAGCTGCTATAAGATTAATTTGAAAGTCCAATTCCAGAGTATAACATATTTTCCCTTAATTAATAATCCTTACTTTAAAGACCGACTTCCCTGATTAACCTGCCATTAAGCCTCTTCTTCATTAAAAAAAAAATATCCCCTTTTTATTTTCTGTTGTTTCACCATCCTGCAGTTGCTTTATTCTTGACTTCTACTGCTAGGTGCCACTTTCAAGCAGTAGGGGGAAGTTTTCAAGCCAAGATTTTTTTTTTTTTTCCTACCAGACTTTATTCTTTGTTGATCTGTTTAGTGATTTGATCATTTTAGAGAATTCTCATGCAAAGAAAAAGCTGAAGTACTGTCAGAAGAGGCTGTCATTTGTTCCACATGTAGGATTATATGTCTTGAGTTCTTATTGCAGCAAAAATCATCATGCCGAGTTTATGGGGGAAATCCCTGTTAATGCTTCACGTGACGCACTCCTCAATATGACTGCATCATTTAGAGATGGATCACAAAACCGATCTTGCATTGAGTATGCTTTTCCATCTGGTGTTTTGGCAGATCACACTTCATGTAATAGTTTGTGATGTGGCTTGAAACCAGTCAATCCTTTATCATTTTGAGGTTGATAAGAATATAAGTCACCTTTGTCTATTAAAATGCCTCATGATTCATACCCAACCACTCCTGCTGATGAAACAGAACTGCAAATATTCTGCTTAAACTGTTCTTATGCGAAATGTGGGATATTACTGTGTTTTCACTGCAGTATCATTTACATGTCCTGTCATTAAATCTGTCTAATAGTTGTGATAGGAAGATGCACAGAGTAATGTTTCTTTCCAGAAGTGAGCTATGCTTTCATGTAAAAATATTGTCTAAAGATTTGAGTAATAAAATGACCCACTAATAGTCCCTATGTAAATGTCTTCAAACTTCCAAAGGAAAAATATGATTCAGATGTCTCATTTAAGATATTATTGTTCTTGTCTTCTAACAGATTATTGCTTTATAAAAAGTAATTATTGGCCGAGGGATTTAGCTCAGTGGTTCTGCTGCCTGGCTCGCAAGCACAAGGTCCCGAGTTTGATCCCTGGTACCAAAAAAAAAAAAGCAATTATGTGCTACATTAACATGTTACCATATTACATCAATAGGTAACAATTAACTTAAAATACAGTGTGAATTCATGATTATATTTATATTAAACTCTAAATGGAAAGTAGCTCATCTTTCTTGTTTAAAAATTTTTCCTGGGGCGGGGATTTAGCTCAGTGGTTCTGCTGCCTACCTCCCAACCACAAGGACCCAAGTTCGATCCCTGGTACCAAAAAAAAAAAATTCCTTTCGGGGATAGGTTCGATGAATATCAAGAAAAACAAAGTAAGTGTAATTATTATATAGGGAATGAAAATGTATTATTTTTATATGGAAAAAAATTACTCATAAGACATGATAACTGTACAATTTTCACTCATAGCTTTTAAAAGCATTGTAAATGTTGGCTTTAAGACAATTTTTTCTAAATTACTATGATAAAAGGGTGATATATCATCACTAAACTTTAAAAGGAAAATGTGTATGTGTGTAATGCTGCCTGTGTAGAATGTCAGTTATGGTTACTGAAATTTATTTTTAAGTCTCACTTAGTAAAATGGCTCATTATTATGAGAAAATCATATATTTAGGAAAGACTAAAATTTATGACTATTAAAAATTGAATAATAGATTAATTCCACATAATAGTATTTTATTTTTGTGAGATCCTGGATAAATGGTCTATGGGCTAAATTATTCATGTATTCAACAGTATTTTCACTTCTTTTAAAAAGCATCTGTCGAACTAAAGAAATCAGAACATATCCTTATTGTTTTATAAATTTAGCTACATACAAGTTTGTTTCACTCTATTATATTATAAATCATAGTATTTAGGGATAAATTAAATCTTTAATATGCTTCATTTATTTTTTTATGTTACTTTTCTTTCATAACCCTTTGAGAATATCTAAATTACTGATCTATAAAGGGATTTGTGTTACTTGACTATAGAGACATGTTACTTGAATGAAGTAACTTTCTTCTAAATATATGTACATCTCATGCATATAGATGTGAAGAGGAGTGAGATCCTCATTAGAAAAATACATATCTTACATATTAACTCCTAACTAAGGTACTCAAACGCCAAATGATGCAAACTGAGTTCAAAGACCAAATACATAGTCAAACATGAGGCATGGATTATGAATACAGATTTTTCTGTAAAGTCGAACATTAGTTTCAAGTACATGTAATTGTACCTCAAGGTACCATATAAAATAGGTTCCATAATTTTAATATTTGGGAAAATTATTATAGTATACAAAAAAATCCCCTGTGTATAAAGATGAGTGTCCTCATTTATTTCCTTTATGATTATGTGAAAAGATTAAAATTTGGAAGCCAGTCAGTTATTTAAAATAGTATTTTGAGAAACAGTCTGTGGGTATTTGGGGGTGAGTTATTGTTCTTAGAGATTTACCATTACTTAGTATATTACTCCACAGAAAACAGTCATTAATGGTTATGTCTTTCTTCTTTTCGACTACCATATGTGTAGAAGGCTATATTTGTAGAGGATAACTACACCCAGAGCTGGCCCACTGGATTAGATGAAATGTAGTCATCAGGATTTGTTAAGCACTAGATTTTACTTGGTGTTTAGGGATGGAAGCCATCCGCAGGCTGCTTATCTAAATAATCAGATTCTTTAGGTGAGAATTCTTTCAATACACAGACATGGAGGCTTCTGGTAGTTGGAAGAACCAATAAAGTTTAGATTGAGATGACATTTTACTATGTTAATTCAAAAGGTTTGGAAGCAGCAAAATGAAGATACTTTGAGATAGCTAGACAGTGAATATAGGCTCAAGGAAAGTTTATAGTAGGTTTTTTTTATGGAAACCTGCATACATGAAAGGTTCAATGGAATCTTTAACTAGAAGGCGGTCATAAACAGAAAGGGAAATGGGGATGAACCAAGGACTTAGCAAAGGAAAAATTTACAATGTCTAGCACTTAGGTAGGTGATACATTTAGAATATGTAATTAACTTTGATAATGCCAACTACATAGCATTTAAAAACCAAATATTGAATTATTTTATCTAATTATATTAATATCTTAAACATAATGAAAAACTGTTAGAACACAATCAGCAAAAATATGATAATTAAATTATCCACAGAATACTCTTGGATGTAATTTTTAAAAGTCCAAATGCTTTCTAATTGGAAACTAGAGAAAATTAACATTAAGAGACTATTCTTCCAATGGAAAAAAAGCTATTGTCATTAGTACTAAAGGGTATGATGAATTTAAAATTACTTCTGAGAGGAAACTATAGGAATGACAGAAATATAAGCAAATAATACAGTCCTGTATTACAAAATGATATTTTGGTCAATGATAGACTGCATGTACAATGGTGGCATGGTGCTATATATGTCCTATTTTTATTTTGAATCATATTAATTTACTTCTTTATAATGGTATAATGTAAAATATCATGCTGTGTTATGCTGA